GGGTTCGGAGAATATAATTGTCCGACGGCATGCTCCTTCGGGAGATTTTGAAACTTAAGTCTTCGGAAACATGACTTCCAGCATTTTGAGGGAAAATTTAGGGGGTTCGATAGAACCACCCGAACCACCGGTCCCCCCTGGATCCGCCCCAGCCAAAGTAAAGCGCGCACTCTGATTGGTTAATTCATCGTCCACCATTTGACAATTATTCGCCGAAGGCAAGGTGAATATCGTCGAATAATCTCCTAGACGAAGTCAAGGGGATTATTCGACAATATTCACCGAACCTGAGGCGAACAATTGTTTTAGTATATTTTCAGAGCTAAGTAACAGAGAAATTTCTAAAACCGTAACAGTTTAGTAACATTTGTTAACATTCTATTTTAACATTTTATACAAACCGCGCGGAGCGGTTTATATAACGTCATATAAGGAACCGCTCGACCAATCAGATTGCTGGAAACTCTTTATGCTAATTGGCCATAAGCGTACGTTGCTGACGTGAGCAAATGCAAAGACTAGTTTTCCGCGCGCGCTTGTTTTTTCTGGTCCCGTAAAATTTGTTAAATGAAAGAAAACTCTTTTGCTACAATATATCTGTGTTATGCTATATATGTTATATATGTGTTATCTGTGTTAAACAAATGGTACGCGCCACAGTGTTATGGATGCACTTGGGAGGTTTGCTAAGCACTCAAGAAGCTAGAGTCGCTCTCGGCTGTCACATTGCGCGACTCTTACGCTGCTTTCGTGCTTAGTAACCTCCAGCATGCATCCATAACTCAATAGTGTTCGCTGTGGACGCTGTGGTGTTTACCATTTGTTAATAAGGAGAAATTCTGTCTTGGTCCCTCAAGGGAGTTCAAGGATTAGGCCGAAATGTTTTAAGCTGATATTTTCAAAAGATCCTCGTTATACGGTGATCATTTCCTTTATTCTCATTGATTCAGCAGTGATTCAGCATACTGTAAGGAAATATTAGACTCTAGTCATTCTCAGAGGTTATTAACAAATGATAAACAACACCGCGTCCTCTATTGAGTTATGGATGCACGCGGGAGATTGCTAAGCACGAAAGAAGCATAAGAGTCGCGCGAGGCGACAGTCGAGACCGACTCTAGCTTCTTGAGTGCTTAGCAGACCTCCAAGTGTATCCATAACTCAATAGTGTACACTGTGGCGTTTACCTTTTTTTTTTTTTATAACATAACGTTGATATTGGTCCGATACACCAAACAGGCAATCCAACTAGCTTACGCAAATAGTATAATTTATTCCAATATATTATTATTCGATCTAGAGAAAAGAAATTAAATTCATTTGAGAGAATGAACAGGATCTATCGATACATAAACACACGAGTCAAACTATTAGCTAGAATTGCAGCACTGATAACTTACTTCTGTGGCGATGTCTAGTAGGATTGTTTCACGGTATACAGGTCAGAAACAGATATAACAGATCATGGTATAACAGAATACGGGTCAGCGCGACAGGTCAGCAAAACATGAAGGTCACTTCGAATCTAAACATCTGACCTGAAAGCAGACTTATTCACGTAGCTTAATTGCGAAACTTATTGTCAATCAAAGTCAATCAGGAAATCAAGTTAATAATTCATTGTATTAACGAAGCAAATATATTGTAGCAAAAGAGTTTTCTTTTATTTAACAAGTCTTACGTGACCAGAAAAAACAAGTGCGCGCGGAAACTAGTCTTTGCATTTGCTCATGTCAGAAGCATACACCCATGGGCAAATGGTGGATGCTGAATTGACCAATCAGAGCGCGCGCTTTACTTTGGTTGTGTTATGAGAAACGTTAGCAGTGGCTAGCTATCCACAATCCCGACGACTGAAATTGCCAAAGCATTAGGACAACGCCCGTATACAACAATGCTCGATAGATATATTTTTTCTCAAACTATTATCATGGCGATGATGATGATTATTATTAATATAATTATTGCCATTATTATTATTATCATTAAAGAGCATTTTTCTCGAAATAAAATTTCTCTAATTCTTATTTTAATTTGCATACTTACAAAAATAACTAAATAATTATTTCCTTTAAGTATGATCTCTTGTTAATGCAAAAGCCTTAAAAATTTTCCTTTCCAGCTGTGAGTTCTATAGGCGAATACTTGTTTTGATCACACAGAGCATGCGCGGGAACTTGGGTGGCATAAACGAAAAAACATCGCTGAAAAGGGATAGGGTATCGAAACTCCGGCAATCAGGATCAGTGGCACTGATTCGAGTTATTTGGGCACTTAAGACCCGGAAGACAGAAAAAGGTTTCAAGAAAAGCTTAGGGTGTCATTGGGGTGTGGTTTTGTCGATATTCAAAATCCATACGAGATATGGAACGCAAGTCATTTGTGGAATGACAAGCCACATCATGGTCTGATATAAACGTCGGGGATCTCTGGATTTATCTGGTAGATAACCGAGGACCTTTTAGTACCCAAAAGTTGAAGTGCTATAAAACTTTAGAGGTTTACCAATATATATTTCGTATCCCGCATAGTGGGGGTTGTTTATAGCTACGAGGTACGTAAAGATGCCGGTGTGTTTGTACTTAAAGCCGAAGTAAGACATCTTTTCCAGACTGCAGGTATTAGACTTCTTGCACTAAAAATAGCAACAACAACCAACAAAACGGCTAAATACGGAGCACATTTCGAATAAGAGTTTATATTTTTAACCCACTTAGAGGTTTTTGTCCTTGGTTTTAACTTCGTGGTTTTCAATTTCTTTCCATTGCTGTCGATTTGTGAGATTTGAAGTGATTCAGGAGTGGCGTGGAGCAACGTAAATCCTCCAGAAACGCCATTGAAAAACCTGGAAATATAAAAGCAATGAATTCATGATTGTTTTTAGTCCATTACAGCCCTTTTCGATTAAGCGCGGTAAAACCAAGACCAAAGTTTTCTCAACGGCCAATCAGAAGAAAGTAAATATTCTGAAGAGACAATGAGAACTCCAAGTAAAATCAACCAAACTTCCAAAAGCGCAGGAAAACGCGGGTATCTCATTGGTTGAGGAGGTGGTGCGAGTTTCTGGACCAATCACAGAGCGAGGCAAAGCAAAACCATAAGAATCCCGTATTACTTGCAATTGAAAATTGCTCTATGATTTGATCAATTGGTTTTAGACGGGTTTCTTCATTTAATGAACTGTGTGGTGGAGTGGAAAGAGATGCTCTTTACCTGAAGCTGGATTGCATGGGTTCAGACTTTCACAAAGGAACGGAGTTCAGTTATCGTTGGTTATGTATAGAGTTCGCGATTTGAAGTTATAGTCTATCTTTGCGCCTCTACCAGTTCACGATACAATATAACAAGTGAGTCGGTTCTAAGACCGGTGCTAACCAACTACCAACTCGGATCATCTATCGAAACGCTATACCCATAGTTTGAACAAGTTGATTGACGCTTCTGAATGATAAGATAATCTTAGCGTCTGCAACATTAGTGATCTTAGAGCTTGCTACAAAAGGTCAGCTGATAGTTTTTCTTTGAAGCCGTTTCGGGAATGAAAAATATATCAATGGCGATTTGAAACAAATAAAAAAGATTGTTGACTTACATGAGTGATTTCTGCAAGGCTTCATCGTATCTTTTCCTCGGACTGTAAAAATTAGCATTTCCTGAGACGAAATAGTGCACTGTCGAGTCTGACTCTTTGAGATGCTGCGAATGAGGAGAACACAAGTTAGGCTCAATAGGATTTATTTCAGAGCAATTCCTTGACTGATTGCCGCAATGAATTGTGGACTCTTTTCTTGAGAGTTTTCGCAATTTTTACAAAAATTCTAGCGAAATGATATAGGCATTGACTGATCTGGCGAGAAAATTGTAATAAAAAACCCTTTCTTTTCTTATGAATCCGATCAGTCTCGCTGGCCAGCTCTGACTCATTAAAAGTATCCTTTATTTCAACTGGAGACTTAACCAGGGGCTTTTCTGGGGGGGGAGGGATGCGTGGGTTGCGCACCTTACCTCCCTTAAAATGACTTGCGGTTAGGCACTTTCACGGTTGCACAAAATCTGCTGTATCGTTCCCGGCCGCGTATTCTCAGCAGTTCACATTGTTATTCTCTAATCATATACCTTAATCTTCGTTGTGCGCTGGATTTGTCCCTGTTTCTTCACTCGAATGGAACGCCCTCGAGACTAATTAAACATCGATCCGTTGTACAATTAGCCTATTTCTTGAAAATAGATACGTTTTTAGTTCCAGGTACGTTTAGATCGTTCTCGATTCCAAAGATGCTAGAACTATTTCTGTGTCGCAGAGTTTGAGCAGGGTCAGAGAAGACTGGTGTAACGATGTCACTTGGATGGCCGCGCAATAACCCAGATTAAACTATAAAACGAAACTAGTCTTTATTCATCTGCCATGACAACCGGAAAGTATGGCCCATACAAATATCCAAGATCCTTTGCAATGTCTTAGAACTTCCGCTAGGAGAACTTCCGGTAGGATGATTACTATAAAAACATTACAACTGGTGTTTTTACTTTTGATTTTCGTCAACTTTTCTAACCATTCACCTTCCCTTACTTTGACCTAAACCACTCTTGGTTTCTCGCTGACCAACGAAGTTACTAAATATTTTGACGATTTTTCTGTAAAGTAGCCACTCACCTGTAGATTGTGATCGTGTCCACTGAAATAAGCTGTGACGTCATTATCCTCCAGCAGGGGTTTGAGCTTGGATACTAGATAGTCAGTGTTGCCATGGATACCAATTGATAGCACTGGGTGGTGACCAGCTACTATGAGGTAATCCGCTCTGAAAGTCAGTTTGACAGCAAATGAAAGAGAGTACTTGCGTTCCAAAGAAATTCATTAGTGAGTCCACAAATGTGCAACCAAAAGAAAATAAAGGAGCAGAGAGGGAAAATTACTGTGTCGGCCGCCTCCTTCTCTGTCCCGTTATCTTCACTGGGTGCGCAAGTGGTTCGACGAAACAAAAATTGAGTTTGGAACCAAGATTTGTACAAGGTTCTATGTTCTTGACGACAATGTATGATATGCGGTATAAAAAATTCTGATTTTATTTTATTTTATATTTATTTAGAGATTTGCCATAGGTAGGTGAAGAAATAATACGACTCTAAGTCCCCTACTAGGTTTCTACACACTGGAAACCCAACCCTAACCCACCCACTTCTGCTTAGGTTGTCGAATTCTTACCAGTACTTACGTTGAATTTCTGAGTATTTTATTTAGCCACTTCATTTGCTGTTTTTGACTCGGTAATTTCTTTTTATCGATCCACTGACTACGAAAAAAGAGTAGGACAAAAAAAAAAGGTTTAAATTGTTAGAACAATTTTTCATTGCGTGTATTAATTAATTTGGGAATGAATTGGTTTTGCTACTTTTTTCTCTGTGATTGGTCCAAAAAATTAGCGTTACTCTCTCAACCAATCATATTCAAACTAAAACCAACACTACTTTTATGTTAAAACTTCTCGTTAGCTCTTCGATGAATTTTTCTTCCTTCTGATTGGCCGTTGTGTTACAATGGAACCTCGATGTAATGAAGTGCCAAGGGACTGAGGAAATTGGTTCGTTATATCGAGGGTTCGTTATATCGAGGTTCTGTGGTATACATTTTACTGCCGTAACTTTCGCCGGGCTGAAACTGAAGTATTGTTCGTTATACCCAGGACTTCGTTGTATAGAGGTTTGTTGAATCGAGGTTCCACTGTACTTTGGTTTTGCTTTTACGTACGGCACTCTAAAAACCGCTCTTATAGCACAAAATGTACAAGTTACTTAGATTGCGATAAATTAATTGTATCAGTCATGAGAATTCACACAAACCAGCAGAACTTTACCGCGAATTATCCCACAAATTGAACTCACTTTCTGCAGCAGAGTAGAGTTGTATCTAACATAACAAGTTCAACAGTCTTAAGGGTGTTCGGGATCTGAAGCACTGAAAAATTAAATAGAAATATGTGATCAACGAAGAGAATCTTATTTTTCGAAAATTGCAGCTTGCTAGCTGACCCGGCGCCGTATTTAACAAGCAAGACACGCAATCATCCGCTCGAGGGTAGATTGAAGACGGGAGACAATGGTAAAGCGAGCCTAAAACGGGAGAATGTAAAGATGAAACAATTTTAATGTAATAGAAAAATCCGAGTCCCAGATGGGACTTGAACCCGCGTGGGTTCGTCTCATCTGGAGCTCGGATTTTTCTATTACATTAAAATTGTTTCATCTTTACATGCTCACTTTGGAGGTTGGTTGGCCGCATCTTTATATGCTTTAATGTGACAGCATGATGCTGTTAGTGAGTTTCACAGGCGCTGACTGATACTTGGCTGTGTAGCCGCGCGACGCGGTTCCAGACGAGGCCCACAAATCGACCCTTGCTCACCATAGAGTCTCCAGTAGCTCAGTGGTTAGAGCATCCGACTAGGTCACGGAGGGTCGTGGGTTCAAGTCCCATCTGGGGCTCAGATTTTTCTATTACATTAAAACGGGAGAAATCGCCGAAAAACCCCACGGAATAAATTAGCTGAACATTTTCAGAAATTGAATAACCTTTTGCCACTGATCGTTTTGTGGGATGGGTGTTGTCCAAACAATCCAGAGTAGCATTAGAAGTAAAATTTTATTGTAAAGCACATAATTTCGCTATATATTATCAGTAAGGTACTGTAAGTAATTTACGTAACATATTGAAAGTAGTGTAATACGTCGTAAAGTAATGTAACGTAAATGTAGAGTATTGTGTAGGTAGTGGAAGTAATCGAGAGTAAGTCATCTACTGTAATCAAGTTTATTGTAAACTATACTTTGTTAGTGGTGTGTTCTCAGTAAACTATTGTAAGTAACGTGTTGTAACTGAGCCCTGTAGTATATTGTAAGTAGAGTAATGTTTTGTAAAATGCCAAAAAAATAAAGAAATTACAAAAAAAAACAACAACAACGGACATGTAATGAGTAACCGCGGAAAGACTGATACTGACAATTCTCAGGAGTCACACGTTTCAACCGAAAATGGTTCTTTACGGTCTATTTGGAGTTTCTATTGCTTTGACTTCAACTAAGAGGATTTTCTCTCGCTTAAACTGGATGCATTTGAAACGATTGATCCATTGGAACACGACCATAGAAGGTCTTGGAGACACTGGTATAGGTCATTTTGAGATTGGAGACTCCAGCCTTTTTGTTATCATAAAAAAATTTACCTTGACTATAAAAGAAATCAGGATAATGCCAGAGACGGGACATTTTACTGTAAGCTATCTGTGCAGACACGTTAGAGTCGTGGTCATGGTTTCCAGCGATCATATACCACGTGGCTGCCTTAAGGGTGGGGTTCGTGTACACGTGCTCAAAGGTGGTAGTAAATCTTGGATCATCCACGGTCTTGACACCTCTATCGTAAAAGTTGTCACCTAATCCAATTATAAATTTTACTCTTCTTGAATCGGCATACTAAAAGAGAAAATACAAAACTTACAAATATAGAAGTAGTAATGATGATGATGATGATAACAAAATATGTTTGATGAATGAAAAGATATGAGGATAAATAAAAATGGGCAGAAATGGGGAAAAACATTACATATGTCATAGACTCGAATTCCACGATTTTCTCGGAACCAGTTTTCGATCCTCCCGACCGGTCCGGAGAAGAGCGCGGGCGCATTTTCCGAACAGCGGCTTGTAAACAAACTTGATATGTTTATGCCAGTATCTATGTAGTTATGTAATCATGCAGATAAAATGTACTGGTGAGTAAAACTGAAGAATTATAATCCAGCAGGCGAGGCTTGTAAGAAACAAATGTGATTTATGGCTAGGAACAAATTTCAGTATGATCAAGAAAATAAGTGACTCAGCTCGGTTGGAAAATTTTTTTCTTCTAAAATCCTTCCTTTAAAAACAGTATCTTCAACGTAAACAAAAGATAAGTAGAACCTTACTTATAGAAACAAAGATTAATAAGTAAAACTAAAATTCTGTCATCTGCCCTTCATCCCAAGGGGTCAGTGCAATAGGCTCCCACCGAACGACGAACATCAAAGTGTTTTCACTATAGTTACCTCGTTGGAAAAATGAAATTGACTCTTTGTAGAATTTCATATTCTGTCAACTTTCAAACGAATCTATATTAAAATTAAGCCATCCTTATTGAATAGGAATCATTTCTCCACAGTCGAGTTCGCGTCAAACCTTTTAAAAATTATGGATATCTGAAAATTAACCACGCTAATTCTTGATCTTTCTTTTTCAGTAACATGTGACGACGTTTTGTCGTTGGCAACGTGGTAAAATATTGTTAATTTCATGAGATTTTCGAAACAGACTTTGAACTTCAAACTCAGGCTTTAGTTACGAGCCTATCATTTAGGATTGCTTTCTTTTCTTTTAAGACGTAACTAAGACAAAACATAATAGTTTCTCGGCTGACTCCTCCGATCCGCTTGATAACTAATTTCTGAGTATAAAATCTACTACGACGTCACAGAAAGTTGAAATAATTTCTAAGTAAGAAAAGTATCGCATTGCGTGTCTGTTTTTGAAAATACTTTAAATGAACAATTGTAATACATTCGATATGGTGACGTGGCAGAAGACTGTTTACACTGCAATTTTAATCACTTCATGCGCTAAGTTCAGAACTGGTGACAGCGGAGGCAATCCTTCAAGATAATCTCGTGTTCGCCCACGACACGGACTTATTTGTACTTGATATATATCGATCTAACTTTCAAGATAGTCTAAAACGACTAGAACTACTCTTTACTAGAAACTAAGTATAACGAATAAACAATATTAGACTCCATGTTTGTCGATTCAAACATGCAAAATGATTTCGCTTTCCGATAGCAAACTGAAATTTCCAGTGAGTTTCAGCAGAGCCACGAAGGCACTGCTGGTCGGGATTGAATTATATGAATACAAACTGCAAAACTGAAAAGCACATTGGCATTTATAATTCTAAATTGATGCGATTCTTAAATTCAGGATGCCTTAAGAATACTCAGCTGTTTGCCGGTATGGTTTGTTTATATCCAAGTTACCTGTAACTGCTTAAACTTTTTGCATCTTGAAATAGCCCGATTCATCCCTTTTGGCTATCATTACTTTGAGCTTAAAAACCGTAGTTCTTCTCATCTAAAGTGTGTTACAGAGCCAAACAGTAGTTACCTGACCCATAACTTCGGCTATCTTTCTCTGCATAGCTGTAAAGTAAGGTGCTCTTGGAATTCCGCCGAAATCTCCGATTGCAAGAAATGTGAGACCTGGATTCTTCTTGTTACCACCGACGAGGAAACAAATCTGTAACATGAAGAACACTGCCATGCGATCATGGTTTTGTTGCATGCCTGCTTGGTCAGAAAGTTGAAGTAAATCGCCGGGTAGTCTCTTCCCTCAGCCTAAATTGCATATCGATCTCATTTGTAATATGCTAAAGTAAACAATATATTCACTAAGCATTCATTAAGCTAATATATTCACTGCGCAAATAATTAGATTTTTTTTTAATGTAGAGGTGCATGACTCCCAACGACGATTTTAAGGCTAATTCTGTATATGCAGGTGTACTATATGCCACATAAATTTTCAAAAGGTGTTGTTGCTCTGAATTTTTTAGGTAAATCTCGATCTATTTCGATGCAGCATTATCAGTTTTGCGTATCTCTTGGTCGCATATTTGAAATTTGAATCACACAATCACAGGAAAAAACACATTGTCCAACCAGTCGTAACATGTACGGCAGAAAACAGAAAAATAAACAATCTCTAGTTGTTGTCCTGTTGCAGAACCAAATGATTGCTAGTCCTGTGACGAGCCTGCGTGACGTCACGGTAGTCTGACACGAACAATCATGGCGGACGACTCATCGAAACTCCGGGAACAAATAGCGTATCTCACTGGTAAGTATGGCTCGTTAAGGTTTTTCTGAAGATGACTTCGCCCTTGAATAGAGTATTATTGTTTTTCCTGTGTTAATTACACGAAAAATCTCTTCCTTAGTTATTTATTGTATGCGTTATCACGAAGCAAATTGACAAGCTTTCTGAATGTTACGCTTTCCTTATAAATTGTGCGTCGAGGCACGTACAAACAAGTATCAGTGGGACATATTTTCTGCCAAAATACCTCAGACTGAAGAATTTCTCCGGAAATTTACGAGTTACCTCTATGCTTCAATATTAGAAAACTACGATTGGCACAGTGATTGTGATCGCAGGAAGGAGAAAATAAAAGATAGATGCATATGGTTCTCTTTAATCTTACTTGTACATGATAGGTAGCCGTTGGTAGCCAAAGCTGTCTATCATATTTTACAAATTTTCAAACAATCTACCCTTCTGTGGCTCGAAACAGATCTCCTCTTCATAAAGAAACATAGGAGTTACCCAGTGCTATTCAATAAGTTTAGACGAAGTCAAGTTTCTTTCTTTCAAATCTGATTATTATTTATCCTGAATGTTCTCCCTCAGATCTTATTAAGTCTCATAAAAAGATACCTTCTCCAGCAAGTATCTCTGGAGTTCATCCTCATACAGTCAATAACAAAAACAGATCATTTTCTTGGCAAAAAGAAACACAGAAGAGAAAAGCAACCAAACAACAGATTTTACATCCACCATTGAACCAGGTGAAAGGACAAACAGGGACAGTTCACTCCTCATATAGTCTAGATCGGAGGAAATTGAACACTAAAAGTTCAGGTACAATGTATGTTTACTGTATAAGAACTGCCTGTCTTGTTTGAGGAGCCTTTCTCTATGAGAATTGACTTACAGTCTGCAACAAGTTCACTTCTGCTTGTTTTATTATTTAATAGAATCATTGATGCTAACCCTTTTACTTCCAGAAGTGATTAACATGAATAACTTCTCCCTTTAAGATCCTTATAGTATCCAGCAAACAGGTAATGAGAACACTCGAACTTACCAGATAGTTGTTATCTTGATTCAACACAAAATTACCATAACTACTTTATAAGGAGATGTGTAGCAGTTAGAGGGGAGAATCAACAATCAGATCATGGGAGTTGAAGAGTTAAGACTCCTTATTGCATCTTTGCTCACTTAAATGACTCTTTCACTCCAAAGATTGAATTAATAATTCTCCTTACTGTCTGTCATACAATTCTAATGATGTTAGTTAAGAGAAATTGGTATTGGATCTACTAGTAGTCTCCTTGTAATAATAATTTTCCTTGTTCTCATCACTTTTCTGCTTGACATTGCATTGTTATTGTAAGGACAAATTCTGTCTTGGCCACACTGGGAGTGCAAGATGTCTTTGTGGAACAACAGCTGCAGTAGTTATTGACATCCATAGGGAGGAGTCTGTTCTAAGTTGATCAAAAACACCAGGTTTCCAAAATCAGTCATTCAGGACTGACAATGAATTTGAAAGTAAGAGGCAAACATGAAATAGTGGGCAGCCAGGTTATTGTGGACTTCATGTTGTTTGTCAGATGACACCACAAGAATGGGATTTATTCAGACAGTGCAAATTTCTGTGCAATGTCACAAAGTTTACACAAATTTTATGGCAAATTCTGAATGTAGAATAGATTCGCGCATCATAACTCATTGTGTTGTGTATAATTTCAGGTCATGATACTGCAAAGACAAAGATAAATATTCCATTCACTTCAGGGTCATCTGGATATTCACAGACTATGAATGACAATAAATCAATTCTTGAGAGTAAAACAGCCCTAAAACAAAATGACAGAAAGGCAGAAATACCAGTTCCAAAGATGGAACAGGCACAAAAATCTCACTTATTATCGTTACAACCAAGTCATACCTTGACAGCAAAGAACCCTTATGTTTTGAATAAAAAAGAGATCCCTCATTTGTCTGGTGTTAAAACTGTTGCGCAGAAATCAGCCTTGAAATGGAAAAAACCCAGTGCCACATGTACCTCAGGTTTGTCATCTGATAAAAGTAAAAGTCATTCTGACTCAGAACTACACAGGAAGAAATCACAATTACTACGGGCAGAAATATCATTAGGGATGCCTTCTACTAAAGTGAAATCACCATCAGTGGTTCCTCCCAAAGCACCATCCACATCTGGAGCACACGGATCTTTTAAATGGTCAAAATCAAAGCCATCCACATCCAGTAAATTAGAGAAAAGTGGAAAAAAATCAAAGCCCTCAAGATCCAAGCTCAAATGGACAAAACTAGGAGCTCAATGTGAGGCCAAGAAACAACTGAATCCTTATGTGCTAAGAAGAGAGAGTTCAGGAGGTAGTAGTCCTGAACAGAGGCAGAGATTGATATCAAACAAAGCTGAGAAACTGAAAAAACAACCACATTATTCAACGAAATATCAGGTATATGAAACAGTAGTTAGATAACAAACAACAGGGTCAAATTTTTTGTGTTTCTCCTAAAGAAAGGAAACACATACAAACAAAAATGTTAGGTAGCCTAGCTATGTTGTCTGATCTCAGGATTTTTAAGACCTTAAAAACCTTTCAGACTTCAAATTGACAGACCTCCAGTTTTGGAGTCAGTTACAAATACTTTTACTGTGACTGGCTGTACAATGTTGAATAGAGTGTATCCATACAATTAGCAAAACTTATTTCGCTTATTGGCATACACTTGCTCAACCCTTGAATAATTTTCAGGAGCATAAACACTTAATTCTTACTGAGTTAATACAGTACTGTACATGCAATGTACCGGTAACAGTACACATTTTCCTCACACATTTGATAAATGTACTTTGCAGGCAGATTCTGTTACAAGTAAAAAGGTTTTGTCACAAAAATCTGCTGCTGGGTTCATTGACAGGTATGGTTTTGATCTTGAGAAGAATTGTTTAGTGATCATTGTTAGGGAGTGGTGGACTGGCAAGCCATCCCAGGAGAGTAGTCATGTTCCTTGTTTCTTTATGCTATGGATACCAGAACAAGCTCTGGCCAGATGACTGATTTTCTATGAATTTCCTATGAATTTTCAAACTTTTAAGGCTACTAGTCTTTTCCTTTAAAAAACAATGACTAAAAGTAGATTAGGTGAATACTTTTATTATCATTTTGAGCACCAAAATCAGCATCCACAACAAATTAGATGTAAGAACTGAACCATATTATGTCCAGTGGTTTATCTGGCGTCCAACTCTTTAAATCCCAGAATTGACCAACACATGAATTCTCATTACTGTAACAGTAACTGTTTTATTTACATAAACCAGCTAACATCATTGTAGAAAGATTTTTGTTGTGATGTAACACCTAACTCTGATTGAGTCTTTTTTGTTTTCTTGTGCACAGAAGGCAAAGAACAACTCAAGGAGAGAGTCCTGTTGTTACAAGGTATGGAAATAAGTTACATGACCTCGCAAATTTATTATAATTTATTATAATTTATTATATATATATATAGAGAGAGAGTCCTGTTGTTACAAGGTATGGAAATAAGTTACATGACCTCGCAAATTTATTATAATTTATTATAAATTTATTACAATTTACTGCCCATAGTACCTATTATTTCTGCCTAAAATTGCTTGGAATTCTTGAAAATTCAGCATGTAAAAGGGTCACTTTACCAGTTTGAAAATTTATATACTTCCATGTGTAGAATAGGAAAGAACATCAGACCATTATGAATATTATTGTTGGTTCATTTTGCAGATACAGTGTTGTGAGGTCAAAGAGGAAACAAGCTCCAATTAAAGCCCAGGTTTAATATGCAATAAAGACTTCATTTCATCTTTTATTGTGTTACAGCTGTATGTCATGTTGTCTCTGTTGCCTCAGCTCTCTTTTTTCGTTCCCTTTCTAATTGATAAGGGCATCATGTCAAGTAAAGGTGATTTAGAGTCTTTTTGTTGTAAATGATCAGATCAACATTTTATCAATGTTTTTTTTGTAGAAATTGAATAAAGTGGTAGTAATTGGAGGTGTTCCCTATAAGACATCATCCAATAAACTAACCAAAGCCAAGACATCTTCAGCTGAGAAGGAAATTGGTAAAGGCGGGAAAAAAGTTGGTGAGCAATTATTTTCATGAGTTTTAAATACAGTTTTAGTGTTTGTACGTTTTGTCATCAATTTGTTTAAAAATGGTTTTCCATTTTGGATTCATGGTTACATGGTTGACATAGGGAGAATTTCCTGTAACTTAAACTTTTGTTCAAATCATGAAGAATTTAATAAAAAGCCACAGAAGGATTGTTTAAGTTCGTCCCATTACAATGGGTTGTGGTATAGATTGGTCCTCACTGGTGAATTGTGAGAAAATTGGAGAAGTTAAAATTTTTTTTTTTTGGAAGTCTGTTCTCAGTAAGATTGGGTTGCAAATTTTACAACTTACGTGAACATACAACAAGTGAACGTTATCCTCTTTCAGGTAAGTTAACGAAAACGATCATAATTCAAGGTGAGAAGTTTGTGTCAGACTCAAAAGGCAAGACTCTTCAGAGAATCAATAAAGGTATGTATCTGACTGATGTTAAAAAGCTAGTGGTTTCTAAACTGCACCATTCCTTGCTTCTCTCTGTTTTCTACTCACACCTACGATTTCGACAACAAAACCGCATATGACCTAGTTATTGCTCACTCTCCAGAAGGCACCCATTACCTAGCCCTCCCTTAAATCTCTTTAATAATTCCCTCTTCCCTGATCGTTCAGTGAGGTTACCAGTAGCTCCACGATCAAATGCGTTACTAAAAAGGTGCCAAGTAGTATAATTACAAGTGAAATCGTTGTTTCATCCTTTCGTGGCTAGTTTTCAATAAGAAAAAAAGTTGAGAATCACATAATGCTCCAATTCAGATTTGGAATGAACAGAAGAGAGCGCTTCTGAAGGTCCTTAATCTTCCTTCATAGATTCAGGCAGTTTTGAGGCTAATAAAGCTACCGTATCTTTGATTGAAGACGATCGAGACATTTTGAAAAGAAAAAGAGTGTACCTCCTATTGTGCCTTTTTGACATGATTTTAGTCACACCTTACAATAAGTTGCTACAGTTATAGTATAATTTTAAAAAAAATTAGTAAAAGGCTTTTTCTAAGGGACGCTTCCTGGCCAATCACTTTGGATAATTTATAATATGAGTGCTTACTATCTTTAGCTCCCAGACGAGCTTCTTTGAAGGAATCAGGTTCTTCGAAACTACGTCAGACGCTCATGAGTAGAAGGCGGTCAAGTAACGGCCGCATGGTTGTATTGCGAACGCCAACCACACTGATCAAAAGTAAACTGAACAACACTCCAAGCAAGGCTCTTGCTAGGTATAAACACAAGGTTTATTGAGTTTTTTTAATCTAGTTGAAATACAGTCTTGTTTGGTATCTTGCACAGTTATCTTTCAACTGAATCTTATTTCAAACCACGCCAAACTGAATCAGGCTTCATTTTGATCACTTTCCCCTCCAATGAACCCAGAGAAACTTTAACAAAGAGCGTTGTTGGAATGTATATTTACATTTACCCTCACTAAAATGCTATTGAACTCCATCAGAAAATTTTCCTTATGCATTGTTTCTTGCAATGTGTGCAGCCAAGGGGTAAATCTTATTTATTCCTGTTTTCAGTCGCGTATTACGGCGAAGTATTCACAATGCCAGGGTATATAGTAAAAACAGGAGTAAACCCGTGTCGGAGCAGTACTGCATGTTCTACAACAGATTCGGTGAGTTACATCTCCATATCTCCGTTAGTGCATGCACTATTAAGCGTTTCCAGGAACCCGTGTTGGAACCGGTTTCCATTTCATTTTTGTGTAAAGCTGCGTAATCTTCTTGTCTGAAGAAGTATAATATGTTGCTTGGTTTTCCAAATTCTATTTCTACTAGTAACAAAAGGGAAAGAATAGACTTTTCTTTTACGTATGTAATGAACCACTATAACAACTGTTTATGTAGACTGAAAAAGTCTATTCGATTTCCTTTCTTTCCAAACCAATCTATTTTCCAAGTGAATTATTTTAAAAGCAACGCCTTGCACTTCATTTTTTTTTTATCCTTTGTAACAACATTATGTTTGATATTGTATTGATATTATATATAGTAGTCTATATAGTAGTCTTTATTTCCTCACAAGATAAAAAATACATATCTTATGTTACAATATTTGAGTAAAAAGTATATATATCTAAATTATAAACTCACATAGCTAAATTGTATTTAAAAATTAAGCGATTAATGAAAGAGTTCTTGAATCTATCTGTATTAACTTTCGGATACTGACTTGTTCGATTCCTTAAATTGTAACTCGATACTTTCCTCTCGGGTAATAGTCCCCTTAGAGGTTGTCGGTCTATGCCAGATACCTTACGAAATACTTTTCTATCCGAAATTCTTTTCTATCCATATTATGTTTGACATTATGTTTGTTATTGTAGGAAAATGCCACAAGAGGGACACTTGTCCATACATTCACGACCCATCTAAAGTTGCGGTTTGCACAAAGTAAGTATGCTTTAGGCTAGTTCAGTTGTCTTCGTGATAAGACATCACCTAAGCTTAACCATGTCAAATAATTTTACTGGTGGTATATTTTGTAGGTTTCTTCGTGGTCGATGTAAAAACTTGGATGGATCTTGTCCGTTCTCTCATAAGATTGACCCAACTAAGGTTTGTTGGCACCTTTAAATTTTTTTTCTTTTCCTCTCTTATTTGTTTTGGTTTTTGCTTTGTTTATAATTATAAAAATTCAGTTTTAATACGTCAGTGGCATAAGTGACTGTCTGTAAATGCGTAAGTGACTGTCTGTGAATGAATAATTTCTTTCAGATGCCAGTTTGTCAATTCTTCCTCCGCGGAAAATGTTCAAACGACAATTGCCCGTATTCCCACGTTAACGTCAGCAAGAAGGCAAAAGTATGCGAAGATTTCCTCAAGGGATTCTGTGCTCGAGGACAACAAGTAAGTATTCCCAAACTTGTCGGTAAAAAAACCCCTTCCTGACATAAATACTCGCTGAAAGGGTCACGGTGCTGGTCTCGATATTTTGGTTTAACAACGGTGCTGTGTTAAGACTTTCGGCGAGCACGTTTATGGTCAGTGAGATTTGAGTGTCCTGGGGAAACAACTTAAATAACTTACAAAACAATTCTAAAACTGCGCAAATCAGCTAAATAACAAAACTTTCACTGACCTGCTTCACATCAACTGTTCTGATTACCAAGCTGTTTGCTAAGCTGTTCATAGAAGCTGTTTTTTTTTTTTTGTTTGTTTTCGTAGTGCGACAAAAAGCACATCCTAGAATGTGAAGAATTCTCACGGACAGGCAAGTGTTCCAAAGGCTCAAATTGCAAGCTTATGCACAAGGCTAGAAAACCTGCAGCAGCCCGGAAACGAAAGTCCAGCTCTAATGAGGGACATGGGACCTCAAAACTCCCTAAACAAGATTTTACTAGCGACGAAGGATTCCTTCCTCTGTTAGCTGGCGCCTCAGGTTGGTATAATGTGACGCTTTTTATATAAAAGCCGTGCACTGCAACAGAACAGCAGGTGACCGAATGCAACCGGCAAAACCACCCTGAAGAGTTTTTCCATTCTATGTCTTCAGTCTGAAATCGCGTTTCATAGTGTCGAGGAATTCACCCATGCGAATGTCATTTTTTCTTGCTTTCAGACATCGTTCTCACCATGAGACTGTCTCTATTCTGTTAGTGACTTTAACAGCTGTGCCTTATCTTAGTCCAATGAATCGACGATAAATCAAAGCGGGCTAACAACTTTTCCAACAAAGAGTTTTTTCATTGTTAAGGGTTTAATTCCTAGTAGCTTAATGATTCTTACTTGACATCTTCACTTGATATAGACAAGTAGTTACCCAGGCTACAATTTTCAGTCATTGACCCTTTTTTTTTTTGCCTGGCTGTCGGTAAAGTCATCTTATGTTTTAGATCCAGAGCACATTTCTGCGCAGGATTCATTGGGGAATTCTCAAGGAGAGGCTAAAGAAATGACGGGTAAGACTAGAGCCTCGTTGAAACATTCCATACTTCTTATTTTTTTATTCGAAGAAAAAAACGTATATTTGAGGGCTCCTTCCTTATAGGGCAATTTTGAATTGAGTTTCTGAAGAAATCCGAGATTTTGTTGGTTTTCCTCCTTTCCACTTCGTGATTTGTGCCAAAAATTCGCACTACCCCTAAGCCAATCAGATGCAATCCTTAAACCACTACTGCTTTGTGATGCGTGCCGTTTTTCCCGCGCTTCATGCTGTTTAAATTTGTTTGCCCCGAGTTTTTATTAGTCCGTGCGATATTTTCCGTTGTTCTGATTGGCTGTTGGGTATTACTTGGGCTTTGGTTTGTCTCTGCTCTTTCGAAACACTCTTTACTCGCACAGGGGCAGTTCTTAATGTAATTGAAAAAGAAACCGTATGAAGATAGCCACGGAAGGGTTTTAAGCGACCATGCTTGCCTTTAAAATCGGAATGACACATATCAACGAAAAGAAGTAAGAACTAATTCGAAAAAAAATATATAAATAAATAACACGCATACACTCTTGTTGACACCTCGAATTACCTGATTTGTTCTCAGCTGAACCAGTGGTAATTCGCCCGAGGTTCCTGAAGCCCAGAGATGCAGAGAAAGTCCAGACACCAGAACGTACTTCTCCAGAATAGGTAGGCTTGGTTACAAGAGGTTCTCGTTTGATCCTCCTTGTCTCTGGGCCTCTGAAGTATGAAGTTTATTAATACATGGTCAGGGCTCTTTTTTTTTCGACCGAGTGGGTTAGTTTTTTTTTTTATTCTGCCTGTGATTGAGTGTATGGTGTGTTTGCATAACTCACATCACAGTTATTTTAGCTGACTGGATAGAAAAGCTGGCAATAATTAACCTCCCCCCCTCCCCTCCTCAATAACGATATCATAATGATACGGGAAATGCATATGTTTTGCAGTGTTCAGTAGGATTTTTTTTTGTTCAATAAAAAGTTGGTGTCACTGTACATTTACACATTTTTTACTCCCGCTTTCCTCCAGTTTTAGGGGATGGTCCCTTTTTTGAAGCCATTTATCTTTTGTGTCATTTGGTCTGCTTCGTTTACGTTTAGAATCATTTAGTTGTTTGTTTTTCTTCTGGGGCAATTCGTAGTGGGAACGTCGCGACTGCATCTTTCCCACATAGTACTGTTAAGTAGAGAAGTCTGTATACAGAATAGATAAAGTTTATAACAGCTGGACTGTAAAGAAAATATTTAAAATTTGACAACATCATACGCAGAGATCAGATGGAAACCATCGTAATAAAAGAAGAAAAGACTTTGAATACACTCTTCATTTAACTTGTCTAGCTTCTATAACAAAAGATCTGTACACATATGAATGACAATTTACTAATGTGCCGACCCCTCCTTCACACGACAACACTATTCAGAAGGTGGTGTTCTCTTTGATTTTGCCGCCATTTAGGGATTTAGGGGTAATAGATCCATAGATTTAGGGCCCAGTCATTTATCAGCGGAGAGAGGGGAGGCGTGGGGGATTTTGGGGTGATCACATAGTTTTCAGCCGGAGGGACGTCAAATTTGGTATTGAGTCAGCTGATAATCCCATAATTTTTTTTAATCGCCATCACTTGTCTGCTTGATATCTTATTGAATCAGATATTGTAAGAGGAAATTCTGTCTTGGACGGCTAACACCAACGACGTTTTTAAAGCGTTCACTTGCAGTTCTCCACTAGTCTCTTGCAACTGCGTTACAACCCTCTTCTGTTTTTCCAACACTAAAGCTTACTCATACTTAAGGCGTTGATATCTAGATGATCCATCGCAGATAGGAAAAAAGTTTTTGAACTGTTTGTTACGACTAAAACTCGTTCATTTTTATGCCCAACGGCCAGATGTTTTTGCCGTCGAGATCCTCGAGTACCTCACTACAGTCCGTGACCAGCAAGGGTAAGATAGATAGTACATACCCAAAACCCTTAAATAAATCCCTAAAGGATGTCATGAATAAATCCTAACTGTACCCTTAAGAATGCATTGATGAATATAACCGTTAGCCCCAATTACTATTTTGCATTTCTAGTGTTCTGATTGGTTTTTTAAACTCCGGTTATCGGCTCATATTGTGAGTCACCTTATATAGAAATGCACTGCGGTAAGTGTTGGAAGTCGAAAATGTTTGCTGGAAATATCAAAACAATCAGGATTTCATGAAATTCCCTGAAACAATTTTTCCATTCGCGTTTGTTGGATGCGAGATTGGTTTTAGCGAACTTGGTGCCAAGCGCGTCGTAGGCTATTTACATCTTATATCCAACGCGCGCTCATGAAATCACCCTAAGCTAAATGAAGGTTTTATTTGCTTTTTTCATATATGTACCCTTACACAGCCGTAACCTATGAGACTCATGAAAAACTTACACCTGTCGAAACTCGGAATGCTGCATTAAATCACTCCTTACGTTTCTTTCGCTTTCCGTCTCCAAAAAGTTAAAAATATATATATATTAAAAGGAGTTTCAACCAAAATTCTAATAGCCAACTCAAAATCCTAGTTTACAACATGATGATAACGAGTACGGTCGGTGATCAGAATACACGGCTAAACTTGAGAAAACCTCTTTTTAAGTTATTTCAACGTAAACTATTTGGCGTAAATTTAATTTTTAAGGCCTTTTTTGGCATTAGTTTAATAATGTTGTCCAAAACTCTTGGACATGTTTAGTTGTTGGCCTTTGAACGTCAGAGGAGGTTTAATACGCCATCTGCCTTTCCGCTCGTTATAGAATTTTTCCAAAGCTTTCAAGGACCACGCCGGTCTTTTGGCCTTACACATTTCATTAACAAAATAACGGGCAAAGGAGATGGCTTCCGGTTGCGTCATCTTACCTCCTAGGAGATGTAGTGGCATCCACTCAGCAAAATAACTCAGCAGCCCCTGTGTTATTACTGTATTTCTTTCCGTTCTCAATTCAATATTCTGACATTTTCTTTGCCTACAACATCACCGTCTCCGACCCAATGCTTGAGAGACGACTTGGCATTCATGTGTTAGGGACCGTAGCATAAATCAGATGTGCCACTCAACCATCATATATGGATCGTTTCTACAAATTGCTGGGTCGATCTTAGATAAGCCCACGGCTGTTTTTTCCGGCGAGCTCAGAAACAGTTTTCTCTTAGCGTCGTTGCCTCTTGTCAATGTCTTATTGCGAATTGCCTTCCCTACAGCTCTAATCCATCAATTGAATTTGTCAGGTCTCATTCGAACATTGTCTTTACAAGTGTTTCCGTCTTTCAGTCTACATTGCCGGTCTATTCCTAGTTTTGTGAAAAGATTAAAACTCAGTCGATAGTCCCTGTCTTTTAACCGCTGAGCCACCGCTGTCCACCGCTGTCCACCAGTCCATAATCCTCTTCTGTCGCGTAAGCCTGTACCTTGTGAGGAACCCAGGAGATGATTGGAATCACATTGTGTTTCAGACAATGGTTGCCAACGATCGTCAAGTTGTTTAGAAACCATGTGAATTTGACGGCGGAGTGGTTGTAAGAGTACAAATCTGCCCTGCATCGAAGTCCTAAGTCACTAAAACCTTTATCGTAGACATCTTTAATGATCTTATCATGGTAAAATTTCAGTGGTTTCACTTTTTTGAACCAGTTTGTTGTAAACCCTGTATGAATCATCTTTTGGTACTCTGCTGGCGAAATCGGCTTATCTGTAGCTGAATTGACTCAGAACATAACAGTTAAGTGTATTTCTTTTTTAACTGTGATATTACACACAAGTGGAAATCCTCAAGCCCATTAGGTGAAAACTCAGCGAAGTATGGCCGGTGAGAATACAATGAAAGAAAGAGGGTGGCAACATGAAAACCGAAGTATAAGAAAGTAAGTGGGAAAGTAAAAAATCCAAAAAAGGATAAAAGAGGATTATTGAAATGGTTGACGGCTTTTGTCGGTAGTAGAGCTGCCTACAATTTCCCAGTTGTCATGGCGAGGTTAAAGCTTGTTGGTAAATATAACTGAATTGGTTTATAAATGATTCTGGCAGAAGTTTTTTCCACCATTTCTTCATTCTTCTCATACCATTTGACTCAAATGGTGGCTTTTACCCGGCTTCCTTTCAAACCCTAACTATTTTTCTTTATTCGGCTTTTTAAGAAAACTGCGGGATGGAATTTTTCTTTC